CCTTGCTGCACCACGTCTAACACAGCGTGTGAGATTAAGTTCGGGAAGGGTAGTTAGCTTTTCTGAAGTTGGTGATATCCTACTATAGTGGCTGGCTTAGCCGTTTAGTCGTGGCTGCCTTTGTTGGCTTGAAACACTAGTATGTTAATCTTTCTCCAGATTTTCGTTTCCAGGGTGTTTTTTTGATCGGTATAGACACTTGATCTTGTCTTCATGACCAATGTTGATTGGAGAATGTAAATAAATGCCTTTGATTGGCCAGAACTCGTCCAATAGAACTGTGGGAAGAACTAATCGGCTCTTATGTAACATACTTAATTTTTCCGTAAACAAACTAAATTGTCTCTAGACATCCTAAAATCCTCAAACAACTAAATTTAGGGGACTTTTTACTAATTATTTTAGGGAAACAATAGACATACTATCTGCCGATAAGGCCCTCGATCTTTGTTAAGCGCTAAGGAAGGATCATGGTTAATAACAATTGACTACTTCCATGCCATTTACACAACATTTGCTAATTGCATCCAGATCTTCTAAACCAATATATAGTAATTAAACATGTACGATATTTACACAAACAAATACAAACGCTAACAAAGGAAGTTTTCTTCTCTACTTTTCCCTTCTTACCTTTCGAATAAAATATATACATTTCTTTCTTTTTTCAATAAAACTTTTCATATTTGACGATAGGTATTCTTATTTGTATATTTTTTTTGGACATTCTAAACACGTAATCCTCTCGCATCGTAACTTGACATTATTATACAAATTTTTTTTTTTTTTTAATATATTACATACATAAAGAAGATATATATGTAAAAAAGAAACTTATATTTGTAAACAAGTAAGCAATATCAAGAAAAAAACCAACCAGCATTTATTAAAAAATATATATATATTAAAGGTAAGCGGCCTTAAGAACGTAAGTAGCTAATATTCGTTTATCGTTCTGGCATAAGCAGGTGTCGGCGCGTTAACGATGACTACCTAACACATCTTTTTACATACGCAAATATTTCTGCATATTATTTTAAATGAACGCATAATTTATTAAATTATTAAAACAAACCAACTTGTAATCTATTATTCGTTTTTTATCATATATTGTCCATTTAGCGTATCCAACATAGTACTTTCAAAAGAATATGAACGTATATCCAGAAAGCACGCCTTCTTCTCCGACTTCCACAACTTCCACCGCCACTACCACGAGTAGTAGCATTTCGAATAAATTTAGTGCTCTGTCAATATCTTCAAAATCAAAACCACAAGTTTCTTTAAAACAAAGAGTGTCTAGTTCAAAAAAGAAATTTTCTTTATCGCAGCGGAAAAAAGCAGATACTGCAAAGCTAAGTGCATCACCTTCAGAACAGTCGTCACAGCGCCCAATCTCTTTGACTGCGAGTAAGGCCACTCAACCTCCAAAAGAAAAAACTACTATAAAAAGGCCTGCGTCTACAACTGCTTTGCGTTCAAACCCTGCTAGAGTTTCTGCTGCCTCTCTTTTTTCCAAAAAAAAATTACCTTTAATCACTGACGACTCACAACCTAGCAATACTCCTACTCTCACCATAACTACTGATATGGTATCTGAGCCTTCTTCATCATGTGAATCTTCTCCGCAAGCATCGAGTAAAGCAACTACTCCAACAATACGTTCCTCCTCAACCACTTCTTTATCGTCCGATCAAGCTATTGATGACAATCATTTGGATATCACTGCGTTCCTTGCTGCACCACGTCTAACACAGCGTGTGAGATTAAGTTCGGGAAGGGTAGTTAGCTTTTCTGAAGTTGGTGATAGAACCGGTTTTCCAGTGTTTGTATTCCTGGGTATGGGTTGTGTTAGGTATTTTATTGCCTTTTTTGATGATTTGGCAACAAGTTACGGTTTGCGATTGATATGTCCTGATCGTCCTGGTATTGGACTCTCGGATGATGTAAAGTCTGATGATCAAGAAGTATTAAAATGGCCAGGTAATAAATTTTAGATCATTTTGTAAAACTGTAGATCTAAATAAATACTAACTATATTTATTCATTTTGTATTTATTTATCTTATAGATGTTATAAATGAACTTTGTGATATACTTGATATACCAAAATTTTTTATAATGGCACATAGTGCTGGTGCCCCATACGCTCTCGCTTGTGCTATCAAAATTCCTCATAAACTACAGGGTACCATATTTCTTGTATGTCCATGGGTTAGCACAACTGTGGCGAATAATTTCAAATGGTTAAGATTTGTTCCTACACCTGTAATGAAATTTACAAATTCTGCTGGCATATCGCTGCAACAAATTATGCATGGTCGTCAACCATATTCAACCAAACCTTCTTCACATCGAACTTCTGGTGCGTTGACTGCCCAAATGTCAAGTTTTGAGAAAAAGCAACAACTTGGTTTAGCAATTCTCAAAGCTTCTTTTGCTGAAAATTTATCTGGTGCAAACAATGATTTAGTAATGTGCTTTGAGCGGGGACGAGCTTTTGGGTTTTCTTATACTGATGTAGATCATCCTGTTCATGTTTTCCATGGAACAAAAGATGATCGAATTCCAGTTGCCGCAGTAAAGTGGATGGAAGATAATATGCCAGATTGTAGGTTAACTCTTGTCGAAGGTGGAAAGCATTCTTTATTTTTACGTGCTGAGGTTGTGGACACAATATTCAAGTCCATAGCAGCACAGCTTCATGTAAAGGATAAATGTAGATTATGTATGATACCAACTAAATGTTGGTTAATGGAAGAAGTCGAAAACGAACGAAAGGAAAGGGAATTACAAATTCAAAGAAAAGTTGAGGCTTCCTTTGCAAAGTTATCTAGATCTCCAAGTATAAAAACTGGAAATCAAGATTATTCTACGGATAACCAAAGATCATCTGCGGACAGAGTACCGCAAACTAATGACAAATTACTTACTATATATACTTATTTTTAAACTTTTTTTTTTATTTATAAATGGGATTTATTTATGTATCGGATTGGGATTTTATATATATATATATATTTTTATGACAACACTTGTATACTATAGTTCTTCACGCATATTTTGTTTGTAATTTGCATTTTCAGATATATGGTCAATTTTGATTTTTTCATTTTCTCAAGGAACATTTACATTATGACAGGTTTTATTAACCTTTAAAAAAAAAAAAAACTTTTAAAAATCAACAATTTAATTTAAAATTCATAAAGGCGTGTTTTAATTATTCATAGCTGATAATAATAATATATTGGCGGCACGAAATCAAGTAGGATCAATAATTTTGATATTAAACCTAAAAAATTCAAACAGTAATGATATTTTATACTTTTATGCATTCTCATTTAGAAAATGAGACTAAAATAATGGAAAATAAAAAAATAAAAACGTCATTTTACGCGTATTTATAACAATGATCTTTATATAATATTCAACAATATGTAGAATAAGCAAAGACATTCGTTAATAAAAGCTACTCCTATTCTTATAACTATATATGCTGGTGAAACTAAATAGCGTGGGTGAAACTGGTGACTATCTAAAATCTGATTGGTTGTTATATTAAATTTCATCGGTTTCACCAGTTTCACCACCATTCACCAAGAGTTTCACCAGTTTCACCTGCATCTATACTTATAACTAACTCGATCATACCAATTGAACAAATAGAAAACTAAAATCTACATCAAACTACTCTTAGTTACCAGAATCGAAAATTAAAGCAAAAGCAAATAGTCTATTGAATCGATGAATAGATGACCAAAAAAAGGTATATGCATACCATTATGTGAAATTGCATTATACATAACGTTTCATACATTGGATGGACAAGAAATATCGGATCATCTACAAAATTTATTAAATTTAAATACGTTTCATACATTAAATATCGGACCATTTACAAAATTTCTTAAATTT